GCCACGCCGAGTCAGGAAGCCTTGACTGAAGCTTAAAAAACAAAAGCGCCCAATCTGGAACTCTCATGGACTTCATAATTCGCCCATAGGTCGACGATGATCAGAGATCAGATAAGCCTTTCTTGGGACCCTTGGCATCCAAGACCATATCCACGACCTCGGAAATAGTATCTCTCACTTGCTCTTTCTCGTTTTCATTTCCGAAGATAAACGCGTTCCCCAACACAGAAGATACTGACTCACGATACTTCTCACTGACGTCGTTGAGGGAAGCCATCACCTGACTGCATTGCTTTGCTATTTGCCTCTTTTTCGTCGTCGATCCTAGTGGACTGCTTTTAATTTCTTCAATTGAACTGCTGCTTGTCGATGGGGATGTCGGCGATGATCGACCCGAACAAGTCAGCGAGGAACAAAACGATTTCGTAGACTCTGGAGAAGATATTGATAGCGAGATGGAATCACCCAGAGTTTTTTCTTGTACTTGAGACTGGAGATTTCTTATCTCGGCTTGGAGTGCGTCCATCTCAGCCTTGAGCGACTCGATTTGGATGTTGCTCTCGAGTTGATCGAGGTAAACCATTTTCCCGCCAGAATCAACTTTGCTCGGCGGCGTCAATGGCTCCAAATCAAGGGTGATAGAATTTATAATTCTTGCGACCGACTGGAAGGAGGGCGAACTGATCAGACCATCAGCTGGAATTTCCCTCTGTCTTAACAGACCAGCACATAGGCCAAAAGACGAAGCCACGCATAAATTTCTTGGCTGTCTGTTCCATCTCGATAAATTGGCGGGCTCGAGTTCGCGCGAAGCGATTACTTTGACTTCATCGGGAAAAATCTTAAATACGCCATTCTTTAAAAAGTCAACTGGTCTCGTTCCCCCACATAGTTCTTTCGTCAAAACATACCAATTCTTGTGCGGGTCAAGGAACGCGCTTGTGACCCGTGCAAGACGCGTAGAGCTGAACTCCGATGGCACTGGAGGAGATTGTTCTTCCTCCATGCCGGTGCCGTGGATGATGTCGAAATAAAATACATGATTGCTTTGAAACTTAAATTTCCCGCCTGAGTAAAATATTACCACTGCAGTCAACATTTAACTTTTAGACCCCGAGTGGTACCTTCGTGTTAATGGCGACGTACAACAATGGTAATACGTCACCTTACGCATCTATCGCGCGTTACGTGGTTGAGCGTGACACATTCTTACGAGGCAAAGCGTCGCGTGGAATTAGTATCGCTTTGCAATTCTTTATTTGCCATTTTGATTCATAATTTGCCTTTTAAA